ACTCAGCTCAGGCGTTTTGTTAGGATGTGGTGGTTCAGCCTCATCACGACGGCACACGCTGGGGGGGCCACGAAGGGCCAGGGAGGATGGAGACAGAGAGAGAGAGAGAGAGACAGAGAGCAGACACAATGGGAAGTGGCCGAGCAGAGCGCCAAGGCACTTGTCCACTCGCAGTGGGCGAGACCGCACCGCCACTTCGCCTTCCGCCCGCAGCTCACAGAGCCACACGCAGCCTTGCCGCACCCAAGCAGGAGGCAGCAGGCATGCCCATCAGTGCACAGTGAGTTTCACATGCAAGAAGGCGGGGACTGGGAAGGAGAACGCAATCGTAGCATAGTTATTGTGAATCAGCACAGCTCGTGGAGTAATGCATCACACCACTGTGCAGCCATGTCAATGGAGGCATTCCCTGCCAGAGAGGGGCGCTACCAAGCTTGGCCCGCACCGCATCAGCCCAAGACAGCAGTCGGCCCCTCCGGTTATCCCACACAACCACCGAATCAGCACGGCGTGAGCAACAGCGGTGAGGGACGTAAGCGAGAAAGCAAAGACGACTGGAATACGAAAAGGGCGTCACCACCACGTATTTCCCTTGATGTAGAAAGCAGTGGCTTCAGCAATCCCGTGTCAGCCACAAGATGTCCTACAAGCCGCCGTTGGGTCAACCACAGGCTGTCACGCCAGGAGCTCCCATGCACAGCCTCTTCACCCAGAAGGACTCCACGTGCTGCGACGTTGTTCACACCCCCTTATCCATTCACAAGCGTCACTCCAGTCGTTTGTGAGAAGCCACGCTCCTCCCACCGGAACAGGTGTTGGCTGCTCCTCAATAGGCAGGACATGCATGCATATCATCGCCTCCCTCGCGAGGGACATCAGTGGCACCCAACTCTCTCAGCAGCACACTCCCTGCAGAAGGAACGAGGGTGCCCGTAGCTGCGCCAGCGCAATCGCAGGGGCACAACACCTCGGGACAACAAGGCCGTGCCCAGCCAATGACGGGGCGGCTGATGTTGTCGCGCATAATGAAAACATCCAACAGCACGCCAATAGTACGCACGCAGGCGCTGGCTCGCCCTCTCATTGCGCCGTGGAGCACGGCACCAACAGAAGGACCAGCAGCGGGAACGCGAGTGAAGAGAGTGGGAAGCATGAGGGGTGATCAGAATTTCCCGGCACAAGTGTCAAGCAAGGAAAGAAGAACACAACTCGCGACCTGGCAATGCCCCAAGAAGAAGCCACGCCATATTAATGAGCCCCCCATGTCGTACAGCATCTCGTGCACACACGCCACACAAAGCTGGCTACTCAGTGAGACACATGATACCCGGTGAAAAGCCTTCCAAATCCGAGGAGTCACGGCCCACTCACGTTGAGAGTCGTGGCGCAAGTATCGGTGCTCGGCCTCCCCGCCACGCATGGGGCGTCGTGTGTCGCAGCGCTACCAACAGCGCCTCCCCGTGAAGCGTTGGGAGAGGATGAGGCAGCAATGCCATCGCTGGCTAGAGGAGTCTTACGCAACAATGCAATCCCCCTCCACAGAGCTACTCTGGAGAGGGGAGGAAAAACAGAAACAGATCACTGTGTGGAGAGCAGCACATCCGCTGGGGAAACAATTCAACACCGTCAAGAAGAGACACAGCGGTGCGGTGCGCAGACAATAGAGAATTCAGAGTGCATCCACACACTACGTCCAGTCAGCTGGTTATCTGAATGGCCTGCGGGACAACCGCCGCACCTGATGCGGCTTCAACCTCCTGTGATTCTTTTCGTTCGTCTTGCTGCCTCTGTCGCTGTGGCCTCTCCGCTGCCGACTCGACCTCTCTGGTAGTCCGCAGGGAATCGTCAGCGTGGTAGCGAAGGTACTGTCGGTGCGGCTCGGGTGGGGGATCCCGCCTCAGTGCGGTGGGGCGCGCGCCAGTCGACCCGAAATCCAGCTGTTCCTGCACCTCCCGTTCTAGCTGCTGCTGCTGCGGAGGCCCCTGCGCCCCCGGTGTGGCAGGCTGCCCGCCCACCTGCTCCTCCAGTCCAAGCCGCCGAAGAACGCGTTTAATGCGCAGGAGCTCCTTGCGGTGCCGGCACAGCACCTGCACATCGGCAGTGCGCTGCTCTAACCGCTGCCGTAGTACTGAGTTATCCTCCGTCAACGTCACCACCCTCGCGTGGAGGTCCTCGTTCTCATTCGTAAGCCGTTCCACAGTGCGCTCCACCATGGCGAAGGGGCTACTCGTGTTGTTGAGGGCCTCACGCGCCATCTCCAGAGAAGCCTGCAGTCGTGCAATCTGTTTGTCCTTGAACTCTACGTCGTGCTGTAGCGCGGTGAGGCGGTTCTCCAGCTGCAGGCACCGCTTGGTCACCGTCAGCGTGTGTGCCAGCTTGCGCGACCTCGGCAAGGCGAGCCAGCTCTCATAGCTGCTCAGCGCGTTCACAGAGGAGGGCGCCGCAGCAGCGTCACCACCGACACCACCACCTCCAAGCGACAGCTGCCCATCAGACTGCTGCGCCAAGTTGGATATGAACAGTTCCGACTCCAGCTCGAGATCCGAAAGCGTCTTCATCTTCTCCTCTGCGGCCTTCAGGCACGCCTCGAGCTCCATCACGCGCTGGCTGTTCTTCAGCTTCAGCTCGTAGTACTCAGACTTCAGTATGTCGAGCTTCTGCTCGCAGCACTCGGCACTCGTCTTGTACCGCTCTACGTCCATCTCCGCCTCGCGCAACCGCACCGCAAGCCGCGTCGCCTCCTCCGTCTTCACGGAGGCGTTCAGCTTCGCAGTGAGGAAGTGCTCCTGGTCAATGTAAGCGTTCTTCACCCTCGACTCCGCGTCACGCAGCCTCCCCTCCAGCTCCACCACTGCGCTACCACGCTGCTCCGCCTCCTGCAGCTGGCGGCGGAAGGACTGCCGCTCCGCCTCAACGACCGCCTCCAGCTCCTTCAGCCGCTGCTGCAGCTCCGCCTTCTCCCGCGTGAGGCGCGTCGTGTCGGTGGCCAGCTCCGTCGCACGCCGCATCGCCGTCTCCCTCGACGCACGCATCGCGCCCAGCTGCTGATAGATGCCGAGCTTCACCGTGTCGAGCAGATCCCGCCTGCCCTCCTCCAGAGCGTCAATCGCGCGGTACTCCTCCTCCGTCACGGGGTTCATCAGCTCCGTGCGGATCTGCGACTTGAGACGGTCCACCTGCGACTGCGTTGCCGCGAACTGCTGCTGCAGCCGCAGGGTCAGCGCAGACACCTCCACCTCGCGGGCGCGCAGCCGCGTGTTCTCCTCCTGCAAGAGCCGCACCTCATCCTTCTGACGCTCGATGCGCTGCAGCAGCTCCTTGGATGAGCTCGGCAGGCCGCCCAGCACAGCCGCCAGCTGAGCATCGTTCCGCACCACAGAGCTGACACTCTCCTCCGTGCCACTAGCAGTGTCGTCGGTGTTCGTTGACGTCACAGTAGGGGATGGTGTTGTGCGCCGCCGCCGTGATCTATCACCAGGCCCCTCCGCAGGACTCGACATCTCCCACTGCTTGCCTCGTCTATACTCTTCTTTCTCTATCTGTGTGTGTCTGTGTATGTGTGTCCGCGAGGAGTGTGCGGGGCTATGTGAAGGATGGCAGTATCTCCTCAACCACACGCCAACCACAAGGCAGCCCTACTTCACAGGGAGCAGCTCAACATGAGGGGGAAGAAGTCCATGAGCACAACGGCAGGAGACGCCAGACTCACTGTCAGCGTGCCGCAGGAGCAATGGGGCCGCCCCGCAGGTGGCACTGGAGACATAACAGTATTATTAATGATGGCGTGGAGCAATGTGTGCGCACTCCACCAACAAAACGTCCGGTTCCACACAAGCAATAGTCCATAACTGCACCTGAGCCCCTCAAACTACAAGCGGGGAGTTGGGGCAGCAGGGGAAACAAATGCAAAATCCATTACCCCCACGAACACCTCCAACCGTCCAAGAGCACAAGCACAGAGAGAAGCAACACGAGGAATGGCACAGACACACACACACATCCAGACAGCAGGCCACCGCCCACTGCGTCATGCCGCAGTCACACAACGCCTCAACGCCACTCACAGAACGTTTCATTCCTTCGCTGTCTTCTTCCGCAGCGCCTCAA